TGATAAAAATAAAAAGTATATATTAGGGATCTAAAGAAAAATATAGATTAATATCTTTCTGATCTCAGGGTGGGAAACATGTTTCTAAACATAAATGAAAAGAAAAAACTATAACTAACTACATTTGAGACAATTAACACTGTAAGAAAAGAAATATAAGTTAAAAGTGTAATAAACAAAACTGAAAAGCAAATGTATAACCCATGCAAAAGACCATTATTTTAATATACATGAAGAATTTTTACAAATCAATAGAAACTGCATGAAAATGATTAAAACAGACAAGGACATGAATTGATAATAAAGAGATATGACAACAGTAGAAAAATCTTTCCTTAGTGAACAGATGCAATTAAAAAAATAATAAAATTCAATACTTCTTTGTCCTTCAAAAACCAACAAAAAACCCAAACAACCTAACTAAAAACTTTTCAAAAACTTTGAATAGACTTATCTCCAAAAAAAGATATTGAAACAACTTATAAACACCTGGGAAAATGTTGAACATCACTAAACAGGTGTATGCAAATGAAAACCACAAGAAGATATCTCCTTATGTCCATTAAGATAAAAACACAAAAAACGCAGAATATAACAGGTGGTGGCAAAGATGTGGAGAAACCAGAAACTTTGCGCATTACTTGTGTGAAAACTGCTAAACCCAGTTATAAAAGAAATACAAGTTAAAAATCACATTGAAGTACTATGAATCACCTATGGGAGAGCTAAGATGAGAAAGAGAAAATACCAAGCATTGGTAGCATGAAGAGCAGATTGAACTGTTATATATTGATGGTGGGATGTAAATTGCTATTGTCACTTTGGGAAGTTGACAGTATCTATTAAGTTGAACATATGCATCCTATAATTTAGCAATGCCTCTTCTAGGTATATGCCCAGTGACACTACATATGTGTCACAAAGAATAGGCACAAGAATGTTCATAGCAGTACTGCTTGCAGCAGCAAAAAATAAGAAACATTTTCAAGTGTCTATCAACAGTTAAATAAGTAAATACATTGTGTTCTACTTCATGCAATGAAAAGGAAAGCTAGTGCTGCATCAAATGGCACAGATGAACCTCACCACAAAATGTTGCATGGCTGGGGTAGTGGCTTAGTGGTAGACCGTGTGTCTTGTACATGTGAGGCACTGGGTTTGATCCTCAGCACTGCATAAAAATAAATAAATAAAGGTATTGTGTCCATCTACAACTGAAAAGGAAAAAAAAAGGCCAGGCACACAAGGTGTACACTTTATGTTCCATTTATCAAAGCTCGAAAACCAGCAAAATTTATGTTATTTAAAATGAGGATTTTTTAATTTAAGGAGGGCAGTGACTAATAGGGGTCATAAGGAGGTTTCTGGCATGCTGGCAACATTCTACTTTGTAATTTTTGTGATAGCTACATACAGATAAAAAGGGCTTGAAAAATTCATGAAGCTGTAATCTTTTTTTGTGTGTGTGTACTTTTTGTTGTGGTGTTAGATTTCAATAGAAAGTTTACTAAGAAAAAGTAAGTCTAAAAGAGAACTTTCCATGAGAAAGTAACAATGAGAACACAATATCTTAGGAGTGTTCATACTCAGACTTACAATAGAATGTCTCATGAAGCTAATACATATAATGTTTTTGCCTTAGGATGCACATTTTAGTATTTTTTAATGTGTGAAATTTAGGAAGGAAATTAACTATGAAGTCAGAAGGGACTGATGAACTTGATGTGGTAGAACAGTGAAATGGAATATCATGTATAGGAAAACTGTATAGGTAAACCATTAGGTGAAAGAAAAAGCATACTGGGCACTTAGGAATTCACTGTTTCAATTTTATTTTCAGTGGGTATCTGCATAAGAAAAGAAATGTATGGGGTGGGTTGTGGCTCAGTGGCAGAGCTCTTGCCTTATACACTGTGTTTGATCCTTAGCACCACATAAAAATAAACAAACAAAGATATTGTGTCCATGTATAACTAATGTGTGGTGTGTGTGTGTGTGTGTGTGTGTGTGTGAAAAAAATACAGTAAAAATTTTAACTATCTTTATCTCAGGGTTGTTGATGAATTGATTTTTGTCCACTTCATATTTTTCTATTTTATAGTGTTCTACATTGAGTACTTTGTACTTTTATAAGCAGGGAAATAACTTCATTAAGGACAGAGTCAGCCTTGTAAATCCAGCTGCTTCTGAGTAATGCTTAACATTATTTGGCCAAATTGGGGACAACAAGCAGGCAACCTTTGCCAAAGCCATTTTTTTTTTTTTTTTTGGATTGAAGTGTGAATGGGAAGTGAAGAGGAAATACAAGCAAATATTTCAAGTACCCTGGATAGAACCGGAAGAAGGTGGCAGGAAAACACTGACTTTTGCTTTCGTGGACATTCTACAATTCTTAGAGTCTAGACCAGTGTTTCTCAAACTTTTCGGCACAAAAAAATCAAGGAAGGTTAAGAAATACTGATGCCTGGAACCCTTTCCCAGAGATTACAAATTAGAAGGTCTAGCCTTCGGTCTGGGTTCCTTAGGCAATCTGGGTGCAAAGCCAAGGTTCCATTTTATTTCATCTTCTCTCCTGAGTAGAAGTTAAATTCCTTTTGAATAACTGCTTCATGTCTTTATGTGGTGAATGTGCAGTGCAAAGTAGGCATTCAAGAATACTTATTGATGGATGGACACAGAAAGATTTCTGAGATTCAGGACTTTTTCTCATCTTTAGGGACTTTTTCCCTTAGGCTAGATGGTGCTGTAGGTTCAGAGAGACCATTCGGAAGTGAGATGGCTCCTTGGTTCATGGCTTCATTGGGGCAATGGGTGTACACTTTCAAAAATGAAGTCACATGTTATAGGTCTTGGGGATGCAAAATAGCGAGATCTCACTGTAGTAAATAGCATAACTAAGAGTCCAAAGGGAACAAGATCGTCATCAATGTCAATGAACTTTACAATCTGGCCTTGCTGGTGTGGAAGGAATAGATAGTTCTGTTTCATGCCATCCTACTCCCTTGCTACACAATCCTCCATTCCATCAATGTAGCCACTTTTGAGGGCCCTGGAGCCCTTTGAAGATAGCATGAATGCTATGCCAAGAAACATTCAGATGCAGGCACGCTATTTTGTATTCAATTTCCTGGGACTCTGGGGCCCCTCCATGCTTATCTCTCACTAAGATGACTAAGCTCTGATAGCACACTTGGGAATGTACAAACACACATCAGGTGTGTAGACCACACCGAGAAAAAACGACTTACATAAATCTGAAACTATAAGCCAGATAAATTGGTGGATAATTATGGGCATTACATATGAGGTTTTTGCTTTGCCAAATAATTTACATTAGAACATCTATAAATAGCAAACCCATACAGTGTGTTCGAACCACCGCTGCTGTTTACCCAAATGCTAAGCCCTTTTCAGAACACACCTACAGGAGAGCAACAGGCTCAGTTCAAAAAGTTTCACACCAGTGTCCCTCTTGCATTTAGGTACATTCATTTACAGAATTCTAGATCACCTTTGAAATGGCCCCTAACCCACATTGCTTCTAGAACTGATGGTTAACCACGAGACTCCTCAAACGTCCAGATGGAAGAAAGGTAGTGCGTATGTGATTTGTGAGCCTGCTTTGGGGTGGATCATCTGCAATGTGATGGATTCCACCTCCACCTCAGAACAGAAAAGGAAAAATACAAGAGTCTTGATATTACCAGGATGGAAACTAGGCGATCTCATGTATGCCTCTCCATGATCCTGGAAGAGAGGCTTTTGCCCTCATTTCCAACTGACTCTTAGAAAATTTAACACATGCCCTGAGTCAGCCAAGTGATTAACAGAAAAAATAAAAATAAAAAAAGCAAAGATGACCATCCTTGATAGTTAACTCTGGGAGGCTGGGAAATGTGCAGTGCCCAGCATCCTACCACATCCCCAGAGTCACTTAGGTTGTGATTCTGATACTGCTGATTTCATCAGTGGCTCTGGGGATGCCGCATGGAGACAGGACTGTACTTTTCCTTGCCCCATCTGACCTACCCTCTACACTGACATCCTCCTTTCCTTTGCTACTATACAGGGACAGCCTCACATTCCAAAAATGCCTGGGGTCCTCACACACACACACACACAAATCTGTACAAGGAGCCAGGATCCCTGCACTGAAAAAAAAAAATCCATATAACTACAAACTCCATCTTACGATTTCCACTCCCAACTGAGTTGCCATTTGGCATGCACTGCTAGCAACCACATTTTACTTGATTCTCTTCCAAGATTTCCAAACATGTGCCTGGCACCCACGCAAGTTTCAGAGGAAGTGTAATAGTGACAGGAGAAGTGCTGCGGGGTTGGTTTTGTATATATGTGTTAGTGACTGTTATAAAGACAAGTGTAAGTTCTTAGAGTATTAACTTCCACAGGAGAAGCACCAACTTTCTCACTAACGCAGTATTTCCCTTTGCCCAGTATTTCTCTTTTTAAACTATCGTTACCTGAAGTTAGGGATGAGCCCTGTTAAGCGAAGGCTCGGTTTCTAAGACCCTTGGGATGAGACCTTTTGCTGGCTTCGTGCCCAGGGTTTTCTGAAGGAGTATCCCTTGGCTACCTCCATCCCTCCGTCTTCAAAAGCCCTCTAAAACCTACAAGCGCTTGGGCACAAGCAGGCTCAAAACACAGAACCACCAAGCCTCCTCCACCCGCCTCAAGAAATCGATGTCTGAATCCAGAGTCAATATGAATTGCGTGAGCTCCCAGGGTCGGAGCCCAGCGCCAAGGCTTGGGTCTGTGTGAGTGACCAAGCTGGGACCACAGGGAGGAGGTCCAGCATCCTTAGCAGCGGGTCCTGCTGGAGGTTCAAGTCTCAAGGGAGGGCCAGTCCTTGAGCCCTGGCCGGACTAGGGACACGTCTCAGCTCCCGTAGCGCAAGCGCCAGAAAGAAGGAGAAGAGGTGGACAGGGAGAGGAGGGCAGAGTGAGTTTGTGTTCTCTTGGGGCAAGTGTGCGCGGTACCTTGGATTCCTGGCTGCTGGTGGATGCAGGAGAGGGCGGCTGCTCCGCGCTCGCCGCCTCCTTGGGCAGCCCATCTACGCCGTCCTCGCGGGCGCCGCTTGGAGGGATCATCGTGGCCGGGCGGGAACGGTGTTGGGCTCCCGGAGGAACAGCGAAGCTCGCCTTCCTCCGGCGCGCCTGCCCGCCGCGCGCTCCGTCGCTCAGCTCCGGGTCCCGGGGACTTCCATCCTCGCCCTGCCGCCGACTTGCCCTCCTCCGGCCTCGCCCCTGCCCCGGCCCTGCCCACCTCCCCAGCACTTCCGCGGGCGTGGGGGAGAGCGCGCCCAGCCCCGCCCCGCCGCGCCCGCGGCCACCTCGCTGGCGACCGCACAGTCGTGACAGCCACCCAACCCACCCGGCCGCGGGCGAGCGGGCTCGGGATTGCCCGCGGGAGGCGGGGGGAGGCGCGAGTGGCTCTGGGCGGGGCCGCGCGGCCAGCGCAGGGAGTAGGGACTAGTGAGGGCAGAGGGGCTGGCAGTGCCCACCGGAGCTCTGCCAGAGGCTGGGCTTCTGACCAGCTCTGGGTCAGGGGTGATTCCTTAAGTGGGATAGTGAGAATTCAGACCAAACCCAGAAGAATAGAAGACCATGAATGACAATGGCCAGGAGGGACCACCTGCAAGGTCTCCCCATTCCCCAACCCAAGAAATAGTGACTCCCAGAGATACAGTGGCTTAGCTATTTATAGGGTTCAGTGGCAGAAGAGCAGAGACCAGAGCACGAGGTCCCCTGACGAGTGGACACTACAATTTCCCCTATTCCACTTTAATCTAATGCTGATAGTGCAAGTAGTGTGTGGACACCTGCTGCTCATTTTGTAGTGCAGCTGTTGAGCTCACCTCCTTTCCACTTGCTAGCTCATTGAATCCTCACAGGCACCCTGTGGGGCTAGACACTATCACTTCCATTTTCTAAATGAGGAATTGGAGGAGTTAGTAATTTGTTTTAAGTCACTAAACTAAAAATGATAGTACTGGGGTTTGGACCCATTTTTGACTTCAAAAATCCATACTTTTTGGTGTGTGAAGTTTCAAATCTAAGCCAGGTCTTAAAAGCTGAAGATGTTGCAGTGTGGCAAGTTTAAGACTGTTCACAGGGGGCAAAGCCTGCCTTATTCTGTGTTTTGGAAACATAAAGATAGCATCATTGGATAAGGAAAGGCTTAGTTTCTTTTGAAGACATAACCTGAGTGTGCAGGAAAAGGAAACACACCTAAACATTGAAAAGCCTTTCTCCCCCATTAAGACAAAACTCTTAATTTTTGAATCAAAAATTGTAAATGTAAGATTGATTGGCTCTGGATGTTTGCATGATCAGATTCGTGAACAAGACACTTGTTCAGTCACATAGGGCCCTGACCTGGGTTTAATGCTTTGGTGTTGCCATCTTGAAATTTTTAAAATAATAATAACTAGGGGCTGCACTTTGATTTTGCACTGGACTCTGCCAATTATGTATCTGGTCCTGCATGCTTGCCAGACCTCATGTCTTTGAAAAGAACTTATTACTCTTTCCATCCCAAACATCGGTTGAAAGCTCCTGTTCTAAGTGTCAGCCTCTCATTTAACATTTGGCTCGAAGAGCACTTTCAATTCCCTAGTGGCTTTCAGCCTCTCCTTCCGTAAGGCCAGATTGACTAACCCAAGTAGCCACTGCCTTTGTCCTCTTAAGATACACTTCCTGATTGCCCAGTAGAGACAAAATTCTAACAAAGTCACAACTGCAGCAAGCAGAGCACACAATGACAGGAGCCTTAGCATCAGCACATCGTTATCAACCATCTATTCTGCGACAGATTTTATACTAGAAACAATATGCTAGGGAGAAAATTCCTTGATCTTGAGTCTGGAGAAAGAGATGGGTTAATCAAATTATATACACACACACACACACACACACACACACACACACATACACACAGAGACATACACACACCAAATGCACTTTCAATAAACTGTGATAAGGAAAACTGCAAGACTCTAGTGAGTGTGTACAATGTGAGGCTTGAAGGAGAGTCAGAGAAGGATTTTCTCTGGAAGTAAAACTCCCAGGGTCTACTGGCAACTCCAGGCTTGGTGAGCAAGTACACCAGGACTTACAATAAAGAATTTTTCATCTTTGGATTTGATTTATTTTTAATTTAAACATGACGCATCTTATTTTAGCAAGTGCTCAGCTCCAATTAGCTATAGTATTAGCCAATAGTCTAAGTTTAAATATTGTACACTATATGAATTTTTTTTATGGTTCTAGGGATCAAATCCAAGCTCTCATACATATTAAACACACACTCTACCATTGAGCTAACTCTTAACCCTCAACTTCTTTTTCCTTTGAGATGAAATCTTGCCCAGACTGACCTTGAACTCCTGGGCTTAAGAGATTCTCCTGCCTCTGTTCCCAGGTAACTGCAACTACAGGTACATGCCACTGATTTCAGCACATAATTTTAAAGAAGCTAGTACCTGTCTCCTTTTCACCCCACCCTTGTCCTGGTTATAGAAATTCCTGTCTGATAGATAATAGCTACCTTCCTGAAGAAAATGTGGAATTAGCTGTGGTTTCTCAAACTAAATCAAACCTTCATTCATGTATATCTTTCAAATAAATCTCTTTCCACCCAATCTTTGGTTATCTGGGTAACTTCTCTTAATCTTCAAAACACATCTCCAAGCATTTATTATTCTTGAAATTCCCTTCCTTGGTCCATTTATCTCTCTTAGATTTCCAAATCAATGCCATGTTTCCGTGGTATCCCTTCCTAAATCATCAATGACAATTTGTCTGTCCTGCTGAGCTAGGAGCTGCAATAGGGCAGGGACAATGTCATGTTCCTCTTATTTCTCCACCCCTGGTCATCAAATTTGTTAACAAGATGAGGAAAGGAGGCTGCCCCTGTAGCCCTGAGTTCCAAGATGGCCTAGGCATTCCTTATGCCATGTGTCCTCCCCATACTGAATGAAGTTCCTGAATGCTTCTAGAAAACACTGGAATTTTAAATAAGCTCCTCAGTATTAGGGATTTTGTCTTTATTGGCTACAAAAAGGTAGACTGAGAGTTGCGGCCATCTGAGAATGGGACTCAGTAGCTTGCACGGATGTGAAGGATCAGCAAGAGGGAAACCAGGTTCACAGTTTGTCTCTGGGAACAGGCACAGAGGTGGACAGAATGCTTCATCTGTGTCTGTGGGGAGAGGGCTACTGGTAGAAAGGGAGGGAACTGTATTTGAGGTGAGGGTTACAGGCACTGCTATTTTGGGACCTCTATGGCCATGTCTTATTCCAAGTCCTGGAGTGATGGGAGACCTCTTATTTGTCACAAAAGCCAGCTATAGACCTGGAACTGAAGGGATATTGATATATTGATGGCAATGCCCAGAGGATAGTGGAGAGGACTGAGAGTCTTCATGTGTTAGGGCTCAATTTCTATTAAAACCTGATTATCAGGGACACATGACAGAAGGGCATCTTTTTGTGGCTATGTGAAAGATACCCACTCATACTACCAGTGAAGGATGTGGATAAGAAGCTCCAGGGACCTTCCCTTACTGTTCCCCTACCTGCCCTCCTGCCCTTCCCTAAATGAGTCCAACACCAAAACTCCTAATGACCTGGGCCTGCTAAACCCTATAAAACCCAGACCATTGTTACAGCTCACCACCATTTTCCCCTTGAAATGCCCCTCCATTGCTTAATAAAGGCCACTGGTCTGTTGGGGTCTGCTTCCATTTTCTTTTTCTTTTTGTATTCTCTTTCATGTGCTTTCATTTGGTGCCGAAACTCAGAAACAGGAGTTCAGGCCTCTGTACCACTCCTCATATTCCCTTTCATTTGCTTTCAACCAGGAACATTGGGGCGAGACCTCACAGAATACTGGAGGTCTGACCTTAGAGACTGTGATGACTTTTAAGCAGTGGATATCGAGAGGACCTCCTTTCTACTGCAGGCTAGTAAACTCTGGGAGAAAAGATTGCAAATAATTATTGGAAATCTCAAGTCTGTAACAAGACTGCGATTTCTGTAGATTCCCTTCATGGTCTGTTTCCTTCTGGCTGCTGGATAAATACCAAGTCAGCAGAAGCGTGCAGAAATTTGTCTCTGCAAACTTGTACTGGAAGCTCTCACTCTAGGTTCATTTACTGATTCATTAATTTGTAATGAGGGCAAAACCCTCCTCCCCATCACATGCAACTAACTGCCTTTTGCAGGAAACACGGCTGAGCAGAAGAATGTGTAATGCTGTCAGAGAGACCAAATGCTTTGCCCAAATGACTTACAGCCCATTGCTGGGCTCTGAATTTGCATGAAGACACTGGATGTTCAATCTATGGACCCTGATTTTTTTTCCAGAGCCATTTGGTAAAAGGTATTTGTAAGATTAATAAAAAGAGCCATCCTTATATATATGAATGGCTCTTTTATATATACATATAAAAGAATAGCAAGGAAGGAAACATGAAAGATACACAGGACGTCTAAAAAATGGAGACCCTACAAGGATAAAGGAGAGAGGGTCTCAAGGAAGGAATGGTGTTCCATACCCAATGAGTCCGCATCATCATGGACAATGAGATATGAGAAAGGCATAGGTTTTGGCAGTTAGATTACTGATCATAAAAATAGCAGACATGTCTGGGGCTTCCAATATATTATAGACATTTGGTATATGTTATTTTATTCAATTCCTACAAAAGTTTAGCAAAATAAATTATTTTCAGTTCCACATTAAATATGGGAACAAGGACTTGAACTCAGATATGTTCTTCTCCTTGGCCAAATGTAGGTATTTTGTTCTGCTGCTATCTAGACCACTGCAGAACTGATCTGCTGAAAAAGTAGTGTGGGACAGGGGTAATGCAAACTGAGAACCAGAAGTAGCGTAGAAGGAAAAATCCCCAAATAATGAAGAGTTGTCCAATTCATTATCTTATCCTAAAAAAAAATAATAATAACCTGGGTGTGGTGGCGCACACCTGCAATCCCAGCAACTTGGGAAGCTGAGGCAGGAGAATTGAAAGTTCAAAGCCAGCCTTAGCAATTTAGCAAGGCCCTAAGCAACTTAGTGAGCCCTGTCTCAAAATTAAAAAAATAAAAATAAAAAAAATATGGGGATGTGGCTCAGTGTTTAAATGACCCTGGGTTTAATCCTCAGTACAAAAAAAAAAGGTAAATAATAAGCATATCTACACTTGAAAGGTAATAGTCTACACTCGAAAGGTAATAGTCAAGAAATTAAGACAAATATAGCCAAGTCAGAAGACAGTAGCCATTAGAACCATTTCATTCACTTTGCAGGAAAGACTATTGCCAAGCTCAGAGAGACCAAATGCTTTGCTCAAATGACTTA